TGAGATGGGTAAATATTTTCCCAGTTGTTAAGGATGAGCTAGCGAGCCAGCTATGTGCTCGTTTTAATGTCGGGTTTGGATGAAGGAACTTCACCTAGTAACTTTTCCAGGCTCAACATGGCAACTCAATCATGAGCGTAAGCGTGACATCGTACACCGCCGTACCGAGAAATATTAGCGTCTAGAAAAACGGACCTGCAATTATTGATCTTTATAAAGTAATCCCCCAGCACTTAAGAAAACCAAAGGAAATAGCTGAACAGAAAACACTTCAAAATATTATTTTCCCGTAGAGAATCAATATCATTGAACATAGTAGTTTTTTGCCTCTTTGCACCAGTTGTTCAAGACTTTGGGTTTGTTCTGTGAAAACCCAATCTGTTTCTTGATCTTTGCGGAAAAGCACATCTGTTTCCTCTGCTCCATGTAAAAACCAGCTCAGACCACATAGAATCACACTGACTGTCAGCTGAAACCTCCCACTTCACCCTGATGATACACACATGCACGGATGAATATTTGAAACAATTCACTGCCGACCGAAGTGTCTGCTTTTACTTGAAAGGTCAATGTGAGGCCTCCATTGATGATTTTATAGAGACTTTATGATTTGTATTTGTGTAATTACTAGCTTATCTCAAGCCAAAAAAGTCAAATGTAAGTGCATGATATTTTTAGTTGAAGTATGATGTAGATAGCTTTAGTTTTATGCTTCAAACAAGGGAAGAAAAATTGCCAATGGGGTAAGGAAAATAAACTTTTCCCTACCCTATTAGCAAGTTGTTTTTTTTCTTTCTTGTTTTAAGGATAAACCTTGCTAAAGTTAATTCATATAAAATATTATAGGATATTATATTATCATAATGTATGATTTTTGTTGCCTAATGATTCCCTAATGATATGTGACCCTGGTCCACAAAACCAGTCTTACGGGTATATTTGTGGCCAGGGGCGGCGTTTCCGTAAGGCAGAGTATGGCAGTTGCCATACCCTAGCCCAGTCAGGTGTGCCGTGAAAAATTATCCAAACTTCACATCTCTATTATAATTCGTTATTATTAAATAATAAAAATCAGAGGGTTTTACAAATATTTAACCAATGCTAAGTATTACAAAGGGCTTCTCAGTAAAACTTCGTAACGCTATTGGATCCTCAAGCTCTCAGCGAAACCTCGTAACTTCACCCCGCCTTCATTCAGACAGATCTCCGCTTTTTCGCAATGCAAGGGTAAATAACTGATGTTTGAATAGTAAAGCGTTTTAATCCGGATGGAATCCTATACCCAGAAGAAGAAGAAGTAAAGCGTTTTCTTCAAACACTATGTCTGTAAAAGGCTAATGTTTTTGTGTGTTCGAAGAGCGGAAAAGTAGGTTATTTGCCGTCTAGCCAATATACTTTTGTAGGCCTACGTTTTAAATATTCTGTGCATAAGCGCTTAATCGTTTATATCATGAGATTTTGGCCAAGTGTAGGCCTTAAACAACAAGAAAAACTAAGCGCCCATATAGCAACAATAATTTAACGTTATATAACCTGTAAAAGTTGATGAAAGCGTATAATGCGATGCACTTGCCTCAGATGCGGCCGTTCTACTGACAGACAAAACACAGATCTCCTCATTCGCCGGCCAAAAACCTTGTTAACTCCATTTGAACTTGTTTTTCATATAGCCCGTTAAGTGCAAGTGTCTGATACAATACCAACACTGACGACGCAGTGTTGTTTAATTATTTACTTTTTTTAGCTTTCTTTCTTCCCCCTGTAGCCCACGCGCCATACCCTATGGTTTTGTGAAACGCCGCCACTGGTGGCAACCCTACATCGTGTGGACAGACACGTTGAGATCACATGAGCCATTACCATTAAACTTTGCTTTTTTTTATCATCACTTCGAATAATGGGAAGAAATTTTAAGATCACATTTAACACTAGTGGTCGACCGATATTGTTTTTTTGACTGCCGATATCTTGGGTGGCCGATATAAATCCGATATAATTTTATTTTAATTTATACTTAAGAAATTTGAAATCATTTGAAAAAGGTAACACTCATTTTACATACAGCACACAGTGAAAATGACATTGGGCAAAAGCATGAAGCGCAGCATAATTTGAATTCACGAGTATGAAGTTTGTCTATCGCGCGTCTCCAGTCAAGCAGAACTCTCCTCCTGTCAGCATTCAATTCATACGGATCGACCGTCACGCAGAGAACACGCGATCATGCAGGATACAAATGCAAACTTCACAAGATCTCACAACTGGATTTAACTAAGTTTGCAAGGTTTTTGAAAGTAGATGTTCAGTAGTTATTCAAAGATTTGTTTAAATTATATAAATGCGTATTTGCTGAATGCTGATGGCAAACGAGAAAGTATTATAATGTTTGCCCTTCTAATACTAACAATATAAAAGCAATCGTTATAATACAGACCTCTGTCCGTATTAGACAGAACTGTTAGCGACGACAGTGAAGTAGTAGAGGGAGAACTGTGTGCTCAGGCGCTGCCGTTATCAGCGCTGTCAAAATAAAAGTCTGGCGTGCCGTCAAAAAATAAAGGTCCCGCTACGAATGCATCGGCCAAACAGAAAAACTTATCGGCCGATTCCGATATTTGAAAAATGCCAAATATCGTCCGACCACTGTTTAACACCTTTAATAGCTTGGTGTGTATAAGATCTACATGTTCTTGGTTTTGATGTTTGTTCTTTGTGTCATTAAAAATAGTGTTAATCTGGATTTGTCTTTTTTGCATTAGACCTGATGACACTGAAAGAGGAGAGTCAAGAACTCAATGAAAAGGAAGATAATGTTCAGCATGAGAAATATAATTTCATGACTGAAGAAAAATCATTTAGTTGCTCACATACTGAAAAGACTTCACAAAAAAGAGCTCAAAAGACAACAAATAGAAGTTATTTCACCTGCCAACAGTGCGGGAAAAGTTTCACCAGAAAAGGAAATCTTGAAGTCCACATGAGAGTTCACACTGGAGAGAAGCCTTTCACCTGCCAACAGTGTGGAAAGAGTTTCATTAATAAAACAAACCTTAAAAGCCACACAAGAATTCATACTGGAGAGAAACCTTACACATGCTCTCAATGTGGAAAAAGTTTTAAACATAAACAACACCTCCATGACCACAAGATAATTCATACTGGAGAGAAACCTTTCACCTGCCAACAATGTGGAAAGAGTTACACTCACAAAAGAAACCTTAGAGACCACATAAGAACTCATACTGGAGAGAAGCCTTACACATGCTCTCAGTGTGGAAAAAGTTTTAATCATAAACAACACCTCGATGACCACTTGAGAATTCATACTGGAGAGAAACCTTTCACCTGCCTTCAATGTGGAAAGAGTTTCACTCACAAAGGAAACCTTAGAGACCACATGAGAACTCATACTGGAGTGAAGCCTTTCACCTGCAAACTGTGTGGAAAGAACTTCATTCATAAACCAAACCTTAAAAATCACATGAGAATTCACACTGGAGAGAAACCTTACACATGTTCGCAATGTGGAAAGAGTTTTAAACAAAAACAACACCTCGTTGACCACGTGAGAATTCATACTGGAGAGAAACCTTTCACCTGCCAACAATGTGGAAAGAGTTTCATTCAAAATGGAAACCTTAACAAACACATGAAGATTCACAATGGAGAGAAGCCATAAGTTTCGAAAGTAAAGTAGCTCTTTAACGTGTACAATCACACCGGAGTGATTATTGTTCAGTTTGTCATGTGATTAACTGCTAAATTCAGATATGCTTTCGTGTTTGGCTGGTTTTGAGCCAGAGATGGATGTGCTCAGTGCTTGTCATATCCCTTATGAAAATTAACCATGCTTTTACTATAGTAAAACTGTAATAACCATGACTGTAGTAACCACAATTTTACTTAAGCAGGTTGAATTAAATTTAACAAAAGTTGTGTAATGAACTTCTACCAAATAAAAAGGTAACACTTTATTTTAAGGGTCCAGAATAATGCATTAGTTAAAGGGGTCATATGATGCTGCTAAAAAGAACATTATTTTGTGTATTTGGTGTAATGAAATGTGTTTATGCGGTTTAAAGTTCAAAAAACATTATTTTCCACATACTGTACATTATTGTTTCTCCTCTATGCCCCGCCTTTCTGAAACGCTTCGATTTTTGAACATTGCTATAACCTTTCAAGTTTAAAAACAAACCATATTTAGACTTTGACAGTACCTTCCTAAAGAAACCATCAATCCCACCAAATATCCCAATGTTGAATCTAAGGAAAAATTCAGATATAAAACCATTCTGTCTACTGTTAGTAATTGATATGTTTAGTGTACTAATACATCTGGATGTACTAATACATCTGGATGTATTAGTGTGTGAATAAAGTAAGATTTTCTTTGTGTGTGTGCATGCAAATGAGATTAAGAAAGCAAATACGTGATTAAGTTATAGTTGTTATCCACATGAACAAGCGACAATGGTGCAGGAACGGAGTAAGTTCTACGGACTATAAAACCAAGCTGGACCATTCTGGCCAAAATTCCAGCTCCATCCACCCGCTGCGTACTGGCCTTCAATCTGCGCCATTGTATGCGGTGCCCTCTTGCCAGAAGTTCACCTTTTACAAGTCTGTATCCAGCATGGGGCATTCTTAATTTTATTGCCCTCACGAGACGATCAAGTTCATTATCAGATATATTGGAACAGCAGCCTCTGACAGAGAGGGAGTGCTCCTTCAGCCTTCTGTTAAGTGTTCGTCTAGAAACACCACAGAGCTCTGCAAGAGTTTCTACAGGAAGAGCAGTAGAGAGAAGTTCTTTAAGGTCATCCCTGTGGATATCCAAACGTGGGCGTCCAAAGTTACCGCAGGTGATTGATAGTTACAATTTCAGATAAATTCACTGAAGATTCTTCTGAACTCTGAGAGATATTAGTTAGGTTTATTAACTCCTGTAGACCCCTAATTAATTCCCCTGGGATGTCAACATGATTTGATGCAGCAATTGCCAATGTTAGTTCTTGCTGAGCAACATCCAGGAGGTAATCCATGTCTATAGTTTCATTCCGACAAATTGAGTAAAACTTAGTTAGCATACGCTGCAAGATATGTTCTCGCACTTGTTCCTGCAGGTATAAACAATGCATAGTTAGCCTACATCTCAGGCTGAGTACATAATTCCATGCTGAACTTATTAGATTTTAAATCTAATAAAATCACCTGTTAAAAACACCTAAAAAGTGAGCAAAGCCCCTTTAAATTTGTATTTTATATACACAGAACAACATGAATTGGAGAAGTGACATGTCTCTTTGGTCCTGATAAGTAATATCAAAAGAAAAGAGAATTAGGCGAAAATCTTACATTTGTTTTTGTATGGACAATCATAAAGATAGAATTGTTTTCTTAACCAGAATAACGACACTGTGTTATCATTAACGTAAATACAAAAGAAGACGATTTACAATTAAAGAAAGATCATTACGAAGCGTTGTGTTTCACATTCACCAGCCTAAAATATATGCCGAAGTATACTTTGGCACCAATGGTCTCTAACGTAACGATCTTAGCTCGCGATGCTTTTAAGAAACGCAGTCCAGTTCATATAAGTAAAGAACGATCTAAATAAAGACACAACTGTTGCATTCTGCACAGGAATAAAACTTATATCTCGATTTTTCTATTTATTATCTTAGTTATAACAAACTTACCTCAGGCTGCCTCGAATGTCCTGCCGAGGAGGATGTTGACGACGCTCCGTGAGCCTCCCGATTACTCATCTCGAATAACCCTAGTCTTCTTCTTCTGATGTGGAAAATATCCGTGTTTTATCATTAATGTTCTTTAATATACTCTTATTACCATTTACTTACAGCTCCACAGTCCAGACATGCACCCGCGCCACTGAAACACTACTTCCGGTTCAATGAGCCACCGATCAAAATCTCACGAGCCAATAAGAGCGAACCGCTGTTAAGCCCGCCCTCACGAGAGGTTTGTGCCAGAATGGCGAACGTAAATTTGCGAAGTGCAAACAAAAACTTGGAAAACGAAAACGCTGGCAGCGCATTCAAAACTGCGTTTAGCGAAAGTGAAGCTGAAAGTGAAGTCAACAAAGAATGCAGTTTATTTGAAGACGATGTTACTTTTTTTGCTATTTAGTTGATTGTTTTTATTTTCAGTGTTTTTCTCATTTATCAATGTATATTTTTGTTAGTTTTCGCAAAAGTTTCGTTCGTTTTATTTGGCACAAATCTGATTCCATAGTTTACGAGGTTACTCGCCAAAACCGCGTATTTTGACATAATTGTGTGTGTTTTCGTCCGTTGAAGCGCTACTGGTGCGCTGTCTAAGCGGCTCAGCGTCTGTGTAACAGCCGAACGAGCAACCTTTTAAACTATAGCCTACTTCACTGCACCGTTTCTGCGGCGTAACCCCAGGTATGTGTCGCCATATTCTCGGGTTATGAAGAATAAAGAAGGGAAACGTTAATCTTCCGAAATGAAGCAACAATATCTTCTCAGGTAAAAGTTATTAGAACCGTGTCTAGGGACAAGCTGGCCATCACACTGCTCTGACCTTATAAGCCCGTTTGTATCCTATTATTTGATTCGCTCTTGTCGCTTATGACAGAACAGCTAACCGATCACGATGATCTTGTCTTTGAAAAAGATTATTTTATTCGCTTACGTCAGAAACAGAGAATCTCTTTAAAAACGGGCTGTTGTTCCCACTAGAGACCTGAACTCCCGCGGGAGTACCGCGGGACCCAACGCAACAGGGTGCGGCGCGGGACAACTCTTGATGGGCGAGTGCAGGTGCGGGCGGGAAGAGACTCGTGTGTGTGCGGGATGCGGGAGAATAAAATGATTTGCGGGACTCCCACAATATAGAAATTATCTAAACATAAAGTGTCTAAAACATATACATTGTTATTTATCTGTTGCACAAAAGCAAAAAGAACAACTAATATTAACATTAAAATGATTGACATGCGC